TTTATTTTCTTCTTATCTTCCACCAATACGTCCCTCGCCTCCTGTTTCCCCGTCCCTTCTCCTCCTCCTTCACCTTTTTCCGACGTCTTTCCTTTCGCCCCCTCCCTCCTACCCCGTCTGCCTCTCCTCCTTCTCTTCCTGTTTCTCCTCATTTTGCCTCTTCCACCCAATCCTCCTTCGACGTCCCTTGCCTCCTATCCATCTCCTGCCTCCTCTCCCCTGCTTCCCCTTCCTCCTCCTCCCTCCTTCCTTACCCCCTCTCCTCCTAATCCTCCTCCGCCCTCCTCCTGCCTTACGCCCTTTTCCTCCTTCCTCCCTCCTCTTCCTCCTCCCTCCTCACTCCCTCTCCTTCCTCCTCTCCTCCTCCTCCTCCCTCCCTCCTCCCCACTCCTCCTCCTCCTCTTCCCCTCTCCTCCTCCTCCTCCTCCTTCCTCCTCCTCCCCTCCCCTCTCCTCCCTCCTCCTCTCCTCCTCCTCCTCCTCCTCCTCCTCCTCCTCCTCCTCCTCCTCCTCCTCCCTCCTCTCCTCCTCCCCTCCTCCTCCTCCTCCCTAGCCCTCCTCTTCTTCCTTTCCCCTCGCCCCCCCCCCCCACCGCCATCCCGCACACACACTTCCCGACCAAAAGCATTCACACATGACTGCCTTCTTCTTGTCATGTGTTGTAACCTTGTTCCTTTCCTCTCTTCTCTCTTTTTTTATCTCTTATCATTTTATTTACCCGTTCTAAACCTTTTCTCTTCTTCGTTTTTTGTTCTTTTTTTATCTCCGGATTTTTTATGTGCATATATTTGTCTCCATATTTTTGATTTTGTGTCTTTCGTTCGCAGTGATTTGGGTGGCTATTGTTTTCATTTTTTTCTTTTCTTTTTATATCTACATTTCTGCCGGTCTATAATTTTTTTAATCATTTTCTTTTTAACTGTTTTACTGACAATTATCCATGTCTTTCAAATTTGTTGCTAATATTCCTCTCCTTTCTTGTCTTTTTCTTTTTCTTTACAATCCACATTTCACGCAGGCCTGTCTTTGATTTCTAATAATTTTCTTTTTAATACATTTCTTTTTTTATTTCTTTAAAGTGCCGACGGGAGATTAAAAAAGAAAACAAAGATATAAATGGAACAGAAACACAAGAGAACAATTAAATACAAACCAATGAGTCAGTTCGATGGGGCAGGAATGACTAACAGTAAAATCCTATGTATTGGGATTTAATAGCACGAGACGCGCATTTTACAAAACCACGTAAAATCAAACCCCGGCGAAGAGAAATCGCAGCTAAATCACACTGTGAAATTAAACCAAAACGCAAACAAACGAAGCATAACACACAGAATAACACAGCAGCACACAGAGCCCACAAACTCCCAGAGAACAAAGCCCAACCCCAGCCCAGCCCGCACAGCAAAATCCCACGCATCCAAACGCCATCGCAGCGAAACAACAGCAAAATCACCCCAAGAAGCAACAGAAAAAAATCCCAGAAAAAAAAGAAAATCCCACATTACCATTACTCTACGTCAAGGCACGACTCAGGGACCCGACCCTCTCTACGGCTCTCAATGACCGAGCAACCTTACCCACTCGACCACGCATTGCAAGGGCATCGTTGCAGCCACGCTTGTCGACGAATAGCTGAAACCTACACTTTACTCTCCTGCGGGGGGGGGGGGGGTCTCCTTCAATAAACGGGACGGGAGGGGGGGGGGGGAAGGAAGGGACGGTAGGGTGGGAGAAGAAGTAAGGAAGGGAGGAAGAGATGGAAGGGGGGGGTGAGAGAAGAGGTGCGGAAGGGAGAAGAAGGAAGGAAGGAAGGGGGGAAGGGAAGGAAGAGATGGAAGGGGGGGGGAGGGAGGAAGGAAGGGGAAAGAGAGATGGGAGGAAAAGAGGGAAGGGAAGCAGAAAAGAGAAGAGAAGAGACGAGAATGGAAGAGACGGGAAGGGGCAAGGGAAAGAGAGAGAAGAGAAGGATGAGAGCGAAGGGGAAGGAGGGGAGAAGAGGGAAGAAATACGGAGGAGAAGGGAAGGACGGGAAGGAGAGGCATGAGGAGAGGAGGGGAGGAAAAGGATGGGGGAGAAGACATGGGAAAGAATGTAAGCAGGTATAGGAGGAGAGGGGAGACAAGAAGAAGGAGGAGGTGATGGAGAAGAGAGGGAGAGTGAAGGAAAAATGGAGAGGCATGATGGAGGAAAGACATCATAAGCACAGGAGAGAAAGGAAGCGTAGATTTATAGTGAGGGAAACGACAAGAAGAAATTGAAGCAGGAAATGAAGAAAAGAATAGAGAAAATAAGATAAGGACTGTAACTGGAAAAAAGAGAAGGGATGGGAAAATTACATGATAAAGATTACTGCGGAAAGAGGGAAAACAAGGATAATGTAGGAGACACGAAAATGGGGACAATAAAATAAAGAAAAAAGAGGGAAGAGAGAGAGAGAAAAGAATGTTGATGGGGAAGACAGAAAGCATGCATTTGTTCAACATCTTATTTTTGTGGTACAAAGGAATGCAAGGGATTACAGATAATTATCATGAGAAAGGAAGATAGAAACAGAGAGAGAGAGAGAGAGAGAGAGAGAGAGAGAGAGAGAGAGAGAGAGAGAGAGAGAGAGGAGAGAGAGAGTAGAGAGAGAGAGAGAGAGTGAGAGGAGTGAGGTGAGAGAGAGAGAGAGAGAGAGAGAGAGAGGAGAGAGAGAGAGAGAGAGAGAGAGAGAGAAGAGAGAGAGAGAGAGAGAGAGAGAGAGAGAGAGAAGAGTGAGTGAGAGTGAGTGAGAGTGAGTGAAGAGAGAGAGAGAGAAGAGAGAGAGAGAGAGAGAGAGGAGAGAGGAGAGAAGAGAGAGGAGAGAGAGAGAGAGAGAGAGAGATAATGATATATATTCCAAGAAGTAGGAAAAACACAAAGAAGCGACAAAAGAAAGAAAAAGAAAAAACAAACAAAAATACTACAAGATCCTTCTAGAACGCTTAGAAGCCGAGACCGGATTCTCCTTCGCCATGAGACCGAATTCTGAAACTTTTATCCGTGAGAAACGACTGAAAATCAAATATCTGAAAATAAAGGAAAATGGGAAAGGAGGACTCGGGTGGAATGGGTGGGGGTGGGGTAGGGGGGATAAGGGGAGGGGATGATGGGGAGAGGGTAGGGGGAAGAAGAGGAGGGGGAGGGAGGGGAAGAAGAGCAGGGGAAGAGGAGGGGGATGATGGGGAAGGGCAGGGGAAGAAGAAGGAGGGGGAGGGAGGGGAAGAAAAAGGAGGGAGATGGGAGAGGGAAAAAGAGGAGGGGAAGAGGGGAAGAAGGAGGGAGGTGTGAAGAGGGGAAGGCGGGGAAGAGGAGGGGGAGGAGGGGAAAGGATGTGGAAAGAAGAGGAGGGGAAGGAGGGGAAGAGGAGAGGGAAGGGTGGAGAAGAGAGTGGAATAAGAAAGGAGGAGGGTGCAACAAGGGAAGGATCAGACGGGAGGGAAACAGGTGGGTAACAGTTAAGGATCGTATCATTAACATATTCGCGGGAGAGGGGGCAGTGATCAAATTTGACCAGCAACCCCTTAACTCCACCCTTACTGCCATCTCCTCCCGCCCCCCTCCCCTCCCTCCCGCCGCCCGACCTGCCTTTGCTCTTGAGAGGGAGGAGAGAGGAAGGGGAAAAATTGAACTCGGGAAAGAAGGAAGGGAAGGGAGAAGGAGAGAAGAGGAAAGCAGGAACGCCACATCCGAGAGAGGAGTTGAGAGAGAAAGACGAGAAAATACCTTGAGTTTTGGTACGATCCAACTAAACGAGGCATACAGATATGATCGGTAATCATATTCTATCCGCCGAGCCCCATTAGCATATTAACGTAAAACCATTCTTCCCGGGGCTCTTCATCATCACAGTGAAAGTAAACACAGACTAAAAGCGGCAACGCAGAACGCACAACACATAGCATCTATAACAGCACGGTCAATCGGAAAACACACAGAGGGAATTATTTACACTATACACATAAAAAAAAACTAAAATTACATTTAGACAGAAAGTTAAAAAAAAAAAAGCAGAGGGACAACACAAAGGTTAGCATAACATAGGGAAAGATAACGATCACTCAACATAAAGAACAAGAATAGCGCACCAAACAATATATTCTCACGCACACCACACACGAGACAACGTTACCCACCACCGATTGCAAAGAGAAAAAGACACGAACACTCAATTTAAAATGGAGAACAAACTAAAAACAACAAACACTAGACAACAACCGGGAAAACACAGCAGAGCACAACGACACAAAAAAAAAGCAACACCAAAAAACAAGACTTAATTAAAGTACAACGACACACAACACACACACAACACACACCACACAGAACACACAACAACAGCACACAACACACACACAGACACAACACACACACACACACACACACACACGCCAACACACACAACCACTTCCGGCAAACACTCGGACATTTATTACCTCTCAGCCCCATAATCAACTCTTTAATTATCATTATCTCCTTAATTCCGCCTCGCCTCATAACTTTCCGCGGCATCTTTCAACCCCTTCCTCATTAACTACTATTTCTCTTACAAACCCTGCTCCCTCCCCCATTAATCCATGATCTCTTCCCATTTTTATTAACCCTTTATCACCCTATTTCCCCTTTGACCCTTTGCCTCTTCCCCGTTTCCCCTTAACCCCTCTCCTTTTCATATTTCCCCTTAAACCCTTTCCCCACTCCCCATTAATCCCTGATCCCTCCCATTTCTTCTTTTAATCACCCATTTCCACCCCCCATTTCCCATTTCCCTTAAATTCTTTCCCCACTCCCCATTCACCCCTCTCCATTTCCTATTTTCCCCTTAAACCCTTTCCCCACTCCCCATTCACCCCTGAACCCCCCCCATTTTCCCATTTAACCATTAAACCCTTTCCCTTTCCCCACCCCATTCACCCCTGAAGCCCCCGCCCCCATTTCCCCCTTTTCCCCATTTCGTCTTACCACTTATTGTACACTTACCATGAAGCAGTCGGAACTCTGGCGGCATTTGGTGTCCCTGTTCTCTCTCGGCGCCGTGAACTGTGAACAAAGGGAAAGAACAGGTCATAACACGTCGAAACATAGTCATCAACGACTCTTTATTTCTAATGAACAAAATCCGAGTTAATGAACATTTTTTTTTTATTTCAAAGAGGCAGGCAGACGAAGGAGGAGGAGAAGAAAGAAGAAAAAAATCTCCAAGCGTGTTTGTTTCTGACCCTCCGAGATGAGCGCGTAACGAAAGAAAAAGAAATATATATATAAAAAAACAAAACAAAAAAAGAACAGCATACTCTTATACCAATACGTCTCGGGGTCTATGCGGGGTCATGCGGCGAGGGGGGAGAGGGGGAGGGGAGAGTGAGGGTATACGTCGCGCCTGCTTGACCCCTGATTGGACCCCACGGCGCAGGAGAAGGTGCAGTCGACTCCTCTTTAGAACACAAGATGTCAT